CATGTATGGTTTCCATTTTGGTGCTCAATTTATCATTTTCAATCTTCAAATGACGTATTTGAGCTTCAAACCTCAGCAAATCTTCTTCTCTTTGGACGCCCCTACTGATACTCTTACCTTTGAAGACTTTTGGTATTAATCTAGCAGGACCTTCGGTTACCACACTAGGTCGATCATTTACCATAAATTGTAAGATTCCCTGATCCAAAAGACTTTGGACTCGACGTTTAAAGGCAAGACAATTCTTAAGGGTATGTCCTTGAGCTCCGGCATGATATTTACAATAAACTTTGATGTCATACCAATTTGGATACGGAGGTTGGAATGGTTTTATATAATATGGATCCATTTCTCGTGCTTCAAGTAGCTTCTTATATAACTCTTTATATGATATGGGGATAGTATCAAGATGAGAACCACCTTTTGTCTTGGATTGAACCTGAGTTTTAGACGTCGGGAGCAGACCAAACTTCGATGATTTCTGATTACATGATTTCTTCTTATCTCTGGGAGCTTTTACAGTGGTCACCATTTCTTTGGTATCTCCAGACGATTTGTGAATACGAATGATGACTGTTTGTAATTTCTCAAGTTGGTTAAGATCTGAAGTCCCTTGCATATCTGACATTGCATGGTTAAGTTCATTGAGCTCTCTCTCTTTCTGTGCAGAAATCTATTCTCTTTTGGCCAAAACAGATATTCTATCCATCATCTTGGACATCTGCTCTCTTATTTCTCGTATCTCCTTTTACTCTTCAATGGGCATACGATCTTTGGGTGCATAGCTCTCCTCTATCTTCAGAGTTCCCTCAGGATGTATTTTCTTGGCTGCATCATATTTTGATCATAAAACTTTTTGTCCATTTACGATTTCTTTCCAATATGATGAACAGTCTTTCAAGTAAACACCTTTTGGTTATGCCATGATCATGCAATGCAAACAAAAGAAATCAATATGAACATATTAGAGCAATGTAACATGCATGAAAAAAATAAGAAAAATAGAATAATTAGTACCAAATAATGGGAAAAAATCTATCTAACAAGGTATAAATCTTAACCTCATGCTTTCTAGTTCCATGCTTTGTTTGGAAAAATTAACCTAACCGCATGATTTCTAGTTCGCATGCATTTATTCAGGAAAAAGAAAAGGAAATAAAATAAATTAAAAGCTAGAGCTTATTTCTCCTTTGTGTATACCTACTGACAAAATTTCGGCATGGTTTCGGATCGGGAGAGTTTCTAGGGTTTATTATATGCAGGTTTTCAGTTCTAGGAGTAAAGGTACTCGAACTGTCCTTGTTGATGCCCCCTTGGGCTGTCAACCCTCAATCCTAGTCCATTACAGACTTAAGCGGATCGAGTTCAATTCGAGGGGACACATTTCTCTATACCTGACACGGAGAATAAATTCTCACGAAGACATAGAGCATATGAACCCCGAAAGTTTCTTGCTAGGTCTGACACGGAGAATAAATTCTCACGAAGACGTCACTTTCACTCCCACTTAAAAGGGACAAGCTTGATTAGAAAGCTTATGTTATGCAATGCAAGTGTTGTGTGTGAGGAGAAATATTCAAACTTTTGACATAATTAAAAGAAAAATTTAATATCTGAAAAATAAAAAATATAAAAAATATTATGAAAATCATAAAAAATTGAAAGAAAAAGAATTAAAAATTAAATAAATGATTTTTTAATTTCTAATTAATAGAGACAATTTATAATTAATTTTAAAGTTTGACAGTCCCCAGCGGAGTCGCCAAGCTGTCGTACTGTTTTTCGTCCGGGCACGAATTTTTTACTAGGCGGGAAAAGTGATGTGAATAAATGGTTTTTAAAATAATTTGGAAGTCGCCATCGGCCTTTTGGGTCAGGTAGGTCGAATACCTAAAAATCATCCTTTAAAAGAGTTTTTAAGAAAACATCGATTAAAAGATAAACTGATCTGCGTTTTAACCAAAAATTCGTTCTTTTTAATAATAAAAAGAGATTCGTGGTCGGTTACGTTTAGGGAAGGATTAGCACCCCTACAACACCCAGAATTGGTACTTTTTAATTATAAATTGTCTCTATTATTGGAAATTTTAAAAGTTCAAAAATATATTTAATTTATAATCCTATTATTTCAAAGTTATAATTATATAAAAATACATTTATATATAAAATATAAATAAAATATTTATTTATTTAGAAATATCAGAAAAGGACTTCTAGGTGCCTTAAGACAGCTCTTTTCTTTGATATTAAAAAATAAATAAATAATTAAAACATTTTTCTAAAAATAATAATAATATATAATTAAAAAACTAGGATATTTATTTATTTAAAAATATCAGAAAATGGACATCCAGTTGTTTTAAGACTGCCCTTTCTTAATATTGAAAAATAAATAAATATCAAAATATGATTATTTTTCTTAAAAGTAATTTATATAAAATTAATTTTATAAATAGGATTTTTATTTAATAAACAAATAGAATAAATAAATAAATATTATATATATAAAATAATAATGAAATTAATAATTTAAACATATATCAAAAGTAATAATAAAATAAAATAATAATAATTAAAATGAAAGAAATTAAAGGAAATAATATTAAAATGCAAAATATATTAAATAAAAAATTAAACTATTAGGGACTAAAATATAAAATATATAAATTAATGGCCCTTGTTCAAAGTATTATAAAAATAATTACTAATAATATAATTAACCTTAATTATTTAAACAACGATTAAAATGAAATTTATCAAAGTTAAAGGTTCTAACTCGAATAAATAAATAAATCTAGTGCTACTAATGTAATTTAGCATTATTTAATTAATTCGGGTTAAAATATAAATTATAAAAACATAAGGGACTAAATATAATATTTATCCTAATATATATATATATACTGATATGAACTAAAACATAATAAAATAAGATTAGAAGACTAAACTAAAATAATCAGAAATCAATTTCAGTGACTAAATTGCAATGATTACAAACTGGGATGACTGCAGAAAGGATTTTTCATGCGCAAAATTACACAGGTACCCCTCATCAAAACGGCGTCGTTTTGATGAGGGTATTAATACCCAAACGGCCGGCCCTCCTTAGGCTATTGTTTCATTTTTCTGGTTTTGCTTCTCTCTCTAAAGAGAGAGAAGCTCTCATTTTCCTTCACCAGAGAAGAAAATCGGTCTCCGTTTCCGACGACGATCGCCGCTGCCGGCCACCGTGAACGGTGGCCAGAAATTACAAAACCCACCCCAAATTGAAGCCCCTATTTTTCTATACCCAAATCTAAGGTTTTTTTAGCATAAAACCTTACCAATTGTCGTAGATCTAGGATAGTTTCATTCGACGCTTCGGTTCTCCGGTGGTTCCACGGTGGTAAGTTCCTTCCTCTTTGTTTTCTCTCTTTCTTTTCTGTTGGTGGTTGTTGTAGGTTCTTGCTTGATGTCGATGTTCCTCTTCTGTTCTTTGTTCTTACTCCGTCCGTTCTTCTTTTTTTTTCGTTGCTCTCTATCTCTTTCTTTCTTGCAGGTGGGGTGGCTTTTATAGCCACCACCGAGGCTCTCGTTGGACCGGTCCCAGAGATGAGTTCTGGTGAGTCACCAAACTATGTGGTGACTCACCCCATAGCTGCGATGTGGACGGCCGGCGTGGTGTTTCTGGAGTCTTCGAAGAGGGTGGCTTCGTGGCTGCTGCTGGAATGGACCATCTGGAATCATAGGCGACAACTTTTATCGTCGATCTAAGGCGACGGCGGCGCTGGCTGAGGCGGTTGGATGATAACCTAGGGTTAAGAAACCCTAGGGCTTCCTTTGCTGGAATCATCTGTGGACCGTTGGATCTCTCAGATCCAACGGCAGAGATCATTGGCAGCTGGGGTTGAAATGATAAAACCCTAACTGGATTTTAGGGTTTATTTTGGGCCGATTCTATTGGGCCTGATTGATTGGGCCAGTTCTGGTTATGTAAAACGGGCCTCCAGTTTTTTTTCTTGTAATATTTATTAAATAATAATAATAATAATAATATATAATATTAATAATAATAATAATTTTAATAATAATAATAATAATAAAACGAAATGAAAAAAATTAGTGTTTACAACACTATCATATGATACATTAAAAATGGACAAAATAATATACTATTAATGTATAAAATATAAATTCATATAGAAAATTTATTTAAAAACTCCCACTACATACGGAAACCCTTTTCATTTTACATTATTATTGGTTCTAAAACTTATCCAACTTGTTTGAATCTTAAACCCCAAAAAGGAACTTTTTTTTAAAGAAAAAAATGGAGAAAAAAGTAATTATTTAATACCAACTAGTTTCCATTCAAGCCCTTTTGTTTATAGCAAATGATAATGCCAAACTTGATATTAATTAGATTGTCATTTCATAAAAAGGGATTATAGGTTGTTTTAGGTTTATTTTGTGTTGTAGTAAAAAAATTCGATATGATTTCAATATAAATTTAAAATAATTTAAAAAAAGGTTTAAAAGATTAGATTTTTAAAAAAAAATTAAATGGATCATATCAAATTAAAACGGCTCGAAAATCAGTTCGACCTATGGAATTACTAAAATAAAACGTCAATTCTTGGAATTGTCTCGTTTGAAAAAAATAGGTATAATTTTAAAATTAGGTCCCTAACGATATTTATTAAAATATTTATTTTAAATCATGTTATTTTTTAAATATTTTAACCCTAATATTTTATTATAAGTAAAAAAAAATCTAATATATGAATGAGTGGTCACTTTAATAAGTATTTTATAAGTATTTTATCCCTCAACATTTTATTTTAGAGTAAAAAAAACTTCTATTTTAGAGTTTAATTATATTTTCATCTATAGTATGATCTTTTTATCTTAAAATAAAATGTTAAGGGTCCAAAATGCTCAAGAAAGAATATAAATCAATATAAATATATTTTTTTAATTAAACTAATGTGATTATAATGTAGTATCTATTTTAAGTACTCTTAACCATTTGACAATAAACTCTCAATCACTCTTACAATCATTGGCGTTCGAACTCGTAATCTCTAAGAATAACAACAGTTATTTTAATCATTGAGATAATTTGATTCGTGTAAATCAATGTAACTGTTTAATCCAATGTTAAAAAGTATTTCTTTAATATTAAAAGAAAAAATATAACAATTGTAACGTGGTTTATGCAATCCCCCTCCCCCCACGAGTCCCCAAATGGCAAACATATGAAACTGTGGAGAAATTTTGGATACTACAACGCGTGGCCCTGATGTCACCACAGCAACCTCGGCTTCACTGCCTCCGCCGTGATTTGCTGCTTCTTTGCAGCTAGCAGCAGCTGGAAAGTTCAGCAAATGTTATATTGAGACTCGAAGAAAGTAGCTGCCGAGTTTCGGAATGGTAAAACACAAAGAAACAATAAACAAAGTAATCCGCTGCTCGAGCAGCGGAATTAACCTGAATGGCTGGACATTGCAATGTTAGTGTTCGTAGTTTGCGGTGCTGATGACGTTGCAGCACCCCTTTTCATCTTCAACTGCGGAACAAAGGAATCCAATGAGTAATTTTACGTACATGGACAATTGTTTCGCATTCCAGTGGATATACGGAAGTGAAGACCAACCTTATACTATTTTCGTTCAAGACCAAGAACTACTGTACAACTCACTTAAATTCATGTCACGGCACTATAAAATCCCCTCATTCTATAATAGAAGGAACCTAAATAGAGTCTTGTGTGTTCTAGCAATCTAAAACTGTTCTCTTTCATACCTTAGCATTTTCTTCACAGTTTTTTACAACAGCGGAGATGCCAGCATAGCGGCCGTTCAACAACTTATAAGCCCACAACAAAAGCTTCCTTGGAATGCTTAGTTCAAGAGGTTCAACCCCTTCGATGCCTGACGGGAACTGCTTTTCTTTTAATAGTCGAGAAGACACCAAAGAAAGGTTGACCACAGATGGGAGCATTACACAGGAGCTCTCCCGATAGAAATTGTATGAACTTCTGAGCAAAGAGTTGGCAGTCTCCAAATCTCCGTCGGAAGCTTTCTTTATCACTATATTATTAATTTTTGCGAAAGTTGGGTTCCATTTTGTTTTGAGACTCTCCAAATGAGTCAAGTCCTTAAACGATGAATTCCATAGTTCAGTTGTTTGCAAATCAACCCAAAGCTGCTGGCTGCTCTCCACATCACCATCTAACGGTTGGTTAAGAGTTTGAACCTCGTTCGAGAATCCAGATTGCAAAGGGTGATTGATGCCAAGCCAATTATAATAGATCGATACCAAGCAATCGAGGCATGCCTGCAAACTTTGGCGCGATTACTATTTGACAATTTTGGGTTCTTGAACCGTTTCCGGATCCTCTCATTTATTGCTTCAAGTGTTTCCAGTTTGCCATTTCTTTCCAGGGACAGAATATACTGGTGAAGATACCTAAGCCAAGTTCATCAACTATTAGAATTTTATGAAAAGGAAAGACACTAGTTATAATACAGCATAAATATGTCTATCGCATGCTATGATTCAATGGATTTTAGATTCACAATTACAAACTCGGGAAATATGTTTTACCCGTATAAACTGCTCTCGGATATTTCCGGACTCTTAATCTCAGGCAAACAGCAGATCTCGGGCCATAAGGTACCCTGTTCCATAAACAAACCGAATATCTTCTCTAGTGGATCAGCAGCAGCAGTCTCGACTTGATTTATGGATAAAACCAGAGCCTTTATGTGCGTCCCAAGTGCCACTGGCACAAGATCTTCAATGCACAAGGAGAACTGAGAGCAAAAAATAGTCAGATTACAAATAGTATTAACCGAGCATATGAGTTTTGCAGTGATAACAGCTGATATGACTAATATAACATAGCTGCAAATATAGTAATCATGCAAGAATCTTGATTCTCTTCTAACTCAATAGTAAACAACACTACAAACTGTTTATCTACTAACTCTTATTAACCATAGATACATATTTCGGGTCTGAACAAAACATGAAAAATCACAGCTACTTTCTCAAAGATTGAATGGTTACCCACTTATCAGATCGAAGGGAGAGATAAGCCCGGTCAAGAGTACAGATGTCTCCAGTTTATTCCAACAAATTTAGATAAAACAGCAAGTATTTTCGGATTCAAGTTATAAACTTTTGAGAACTCTCTGGTAAGTTTACTTCGAGGGCCTTCTTGTTCCCAGCTAAACCCGGTGTTTTGTGCCTGATTTTTCCCCAAACAAAGACAAAAATAAAATATAATAGATCCGAATAATAACAGCCAATGACTCACTAGCATTAAATGTACTATTAACAACATCAAAGGCATGGACATCTCAGAAAGGGAAACTAAGGACACCATGTTGAACTGTCCAAAATCCTTTTCTCATCCCTGCCCCACCCCAAAATGAAATTGGTAACTAATGAAACTTGACTAAAACACTAAAGCAGAAAGCTGGTTTAATGTCCAGGTTATGACAATCTAATTGCTTGGAATATGAAATATATAGGGTTGCAGCCATACTTTCCCTTTTTCACCATGCCATCAATCTCCCACATGTTTATTGTAAAGCTCGACCAAGACGATTTGAAGCAAAAAGAAAGTTCATCTTTAGCCTTCTGCATATCACCTCTTCCCCCCCCCCCTTTTATATATTCCTTGGGCCAGCATAAATCTGGCCTTATGAAAATGTTTCAGATCTCCTCCAATACAAATTTCCAGCGCGGAAAGACATTGTAAATTATGTTCCACACCTCGTCCATTTTGTCTGATTTGTCATGGTGTTTCCCTCTACATTCTTTTTACATCTTTCGTCCAAATCTTCTTCAAAAAGCGAACTTTCAGAGGTTAATCCCCTGAAAATGTACATTGCATCATCCTTTAAAGATTGACTGAAAGAATACGTTGAAAGAACCTAGAACACATCAATGAGAGTTGAGGCTCGAGAATTGTTATTTGGTGAACTTGTCAACTTATATAAGTCCAGAAACAAGAAACTGTTAACCATTAAATCATTAATGATTCAAAAAGAAAAAAGAAAAAAAAAGAAGTTAAAACGGGAAGGAAAGGAAAATAATGTTTATTTTACTTGCTTGGAAGAGGGAAAGAGGGAAGGAAGAAGGAAACCTTTAAAACTTCAAGATTTTGTTTCCCGCAGTTCCAGAGTAACTTTAAGCGTGAAGCATGCATCCTGTACAAAGGATCGACAGCTGATGGATTCAAAGCAACGGCCTTATCATAATAGGACAATGATGTCTCACACGAGTATCCAAGCTTCTCACAGAGTTTTCCTGTGTAGAATGCATGTGACCAGTCCGGCCTATAACATAGTGGAGTCGGCTGAAGTTATACATCTTATGATCATAAAGATTTTTTTTGTTGATAAAAATAGAAGGCCTCATTAAAAATCTCCCTCATAGTAGTCCATTTCCATAAGGAAAGAAACGACTAGCGGAAGGAGGAAAAGAGTACCTCAATTTATTAATAGAAATATATTACATAAGACTTAAATATTACACCCAATACATGTTTTCTTACAAAAAAACAAAGAACAACTAAAAAAAACCTTACAATCACCCAATCCCCTCCTTCGCTAACTTATCAACCTCACAGTTGCAACCCCTTGGAATCAACCTAACTATATACGCCTTAGTTGAAACAAGGGACACAATATCTTTGACTAGGTTACTAAAGAAAGTAGGAGCAGTAGAAGGAGATTTAATCCACTCCACTGCAGACTTGCAGTCGCTTTCAACAATCAGTCTACCCTCAGGAACCCACATTGAAGAGAGAAAAATATCGATGCCTTTTTTAATGGCTTTCAATTCTGCTAAAGGTGGAGGGCTTGGACCAGCACTTTCTGAAAAAGTTAGTAGAGTGAAATGTTTCCAATCTCTTAAAATACCATTGATTCCTCCTACCAACCCGTCAAACCTTACTGTTCCATCAACATTCATCTTAAAGAAATCAACTGAAGGGGGTCTCCAACATATCAATGGCATACACTGAACTTTTGAAACATAACTCTTGTCTGTAAGGGAATGATCTCCAATCAGCGAATCCGCTTGGATAGGAACGTAAGGAAACTTCTCTAGAAACCATTTTGGTAACCTAAATCTAACAATGAAGAAGATGGAGGACCTGTCAAGTTTCACTCTTTCGAAAACAACTGAGTTCCTAACTTTCCAAATAGACCAAAAAACAACACCCGGAATAAACTTCCATATAGACGAGTAAACCCTCAAATTAGACCAGGAGCTAAGTATGATCATAAAGATCAAGAGTGAGAAAGTAGAATTGTCGTAACCGATTTTCGTCCGGGCACGAAATATTATACTTGGCGGGAAAATTGATGTGAATAAATGGTTTTGAAAATAATTTGGGAGTCGCCATCGGCCTTTTGGGTCAGGTAGGTCGAATACCTAAAAATTATTTTTTTAAAAGAGTTTTAAGAAAACATCAATTAAAAAATGAACTGATCTGCGTTTATAACCAAAAATTCGTTCTTTTTAAGAATAAAAAGGGATTCGTGGTCGCTTACGTTTAGGGAAGGATTAGCACCCCTACAACGCCCAAAATTGGTACTTTTTAATTATAAATTGTCTCTATTATTAAAATTCAAATATATTTATTTATAATCCTATTATTTCAAAATTATATAAAAAATATTTAAAAATATCGGAAAAGGACTTCTAGGTGCCTTAAGACAGCTCTTTTCTTTGATATTAATAAATATTAATTTGAATAAAATTAAATAATAAATTTTTTTAATATTTAATTTTAAAATACCAGAATAGGACATCCAGTTGTATTAAGATTGCCCTTTTCTTCGATATTGAAAAATAAATGTTAAAAATAATTTATTAAAAAAAATAAATATTTATTTATTATATATATATTTATGACTACATAATAATAATAAAAATATTTAGACAAGTAAAATTAAAATAATAAATACAATTAGAACTATGTATTTAAAAGCAATAAAATAAATAAAAATGTAATAGTTACAAGTTAGGATGGCTGCGGAAAGGGTTTACCCTTTCTTAAATTACACAGATACCCCTCCCCAAAACGGCGTCGTTTGGAGAGGGGTTTAAATACTCAAAATGGCCGGCCCTACGGGCCAAATTTCTCATTTCTCTTTTTCTTCTTCTCTCTCTAAAAAGTAACTCTCTCCCTTCTCTCTAGTTTCTCTCAACAGAGAGATAGCTGGCCGTAGACAACCGTCGACCACCACCATTGCTGGCCACCGTGAGCGGTGGCTGGAACTCCCAAATCCCCCAAAATAAAGCTATGAACACCCTAAGACCGATTCCAACCTCCTTTTCTCCTAAAAAGCTATAAAATTACCTAGATCTATGGAAATACGTTCGGTATTTCGGCTTCTTTAGTGGCTCGTGTAGGTTCCGATGGCCGTGCTCCTTCCTCGGTAAGTGCTTCTCTTCTCTTTTCTTTCGTTTTTTTTTGTCTTGGTTTCTGTTGATATGTTCCTCGTTACTGCATCTCTCTCGTGTTTGGTTGTGGCTGTCCTCCTCCTTTTTTTTTTGTTGTTCTCCGTTTGTTGTCGTGGCCCCCTTTTTTCTTGCAGCGATGGCTTTATAGCCATTACTGGTATTCTCTTCGGACCGGTCCAAAGGTGAATTTTCGGTGAGTCACCGAATTTGTTGTGATTCACCCTTTGGGCATTGATGTGTGGAGAGGTCGTGGCAGCTGTTGGAATCTTCGACGAGGGCGGCAGCGTCGTGGTTGAAGCACCTGGCAATGGAGGTGTCGACAATGAACGGCGACAGGTTTCTGGAAGCTTGAGGCGGCGCTGCGTAGAACTCACTGGAACTTTGGAGCGGCGGCTGGGAATGATACAAACCCTAGAAGGGTTTGGGTCATCTTTTGGGCCAGTTCTGGTTGGGCTTGAGCATGTAAACGGGCCCTAGGGTTTGGGCTTGAAATGTATTTATTTGTAATAATAATAATAATAATTATAATAATAATAATAAATAATAATATAATAATAATAATAAACAAAAAATATCAATAAAATAAAATAAATGGATGAAAAAAAATTAGTATCTTCAGCTGCCCCTCTTTGCTCATTCTTGTGTTAACAAGAATAGAGCAAAGACGAAAAGATAATAATATTTTTTTATCCATTTGAATTCACTTGATTAATATGGAGATGTTGAATAAATTCTTCTCTTTCTTCAGAAGAGTTCTTCTCATTATGAACTTTCCGCTGGGGATGATGTTGACCTATTTCCTTCTGTGTGATAGAGTCAAACAAAAGGTTAAATAAGCTCTTCTCATTATGAACTTCTTCTTCCTCTTCAGATAAGTTCTTCTCATTATGAACTTTCTCTGGAAAAGTTGATGCTGATCTATCTCCTTCTGTGATAGAGTCATGCAAAAGGTTGAACAAGCTCTTCTCATTATGAACTTCTTCTTCCTCTTTAGATAAGTTCTTCTTATTATGAACTTTCTGGAAATGTTGATCCATCGATCAAACTAAAGTCGAACAAGTTCTTCTCATTATGAACTTCTTCTTCCTCTTCAGATAAGTTCTTCTCATTATGAACTTTCTCTGGAAAAGTTGATCCATCGAGTGATGAATTCAAACAAAAAGTTGAACAAATTCTTCTCATTATGAATTTCTTCTTCCTTCTTCAGATGAGTTCTTCTCATTATGAACTTTCTCTGGAAAAACTGATCCATCAAGTGATGGATTTGAGCAAAAAGTTGAACAAGTTCTTCTCATTATGAACTTCTTCTTCCTTCTTCAGATGAGTTCTTCTCATTATGAACTTGACCTGGTAATGTTGATCCATCGATCAAACTAAAGTCGAACAAGTTCTTCTCATTATGAACTTCTTCTTCCTCTTCAGATAAGTTCTTCTCATTATGAACTTTCTCTGGAAAAGTTGATCCATCGAGTGATGAATTCAAACAAAAAGTTGAACAAATTCTTCTCATTATGAACTTCTTCTTCCTTCTTCAGATGAGTTCTTCTCATTATGAACTTGACCTAGTAATGTTGATCCATCAAATGATAAATTCAAGCAAAAAGTTGAACAAGTTCTTCTTATTATGAACTCCTTCTTCCTTCTTCAGATGAGTTCTTCTCATTATGAACTTGACCTGGTAATGTTGATCCATCAAATGATAAATTCAAGCAAAAAGTTGAACAAGTTCTTCTTATTATGAACTTCTTCTTCCTTCTTCAGATGAGTTCTTCTCATTATGAACTTTCTCTGATAATGTTGATCCATCAAATGATGATTCAAGCGAAAAGTTGAACAAGTTCTTCTTATTATGAACTTCTTCTTCCTTCTTCAGATGAGTTCTTCTCATTATGAACTTCTCTGAAATGTTGATCCATTGAATGATGGATTTGAACTTGCTAAAATCTTTGAAATTCCTGTCAAATATTCAACATGGATAAAATGAATGAAATGCACCTATTTTTGCAAATACCTAAATATGATGCATGTTGATGCAATCTTTGTTTGACTTCAAAATGGTGAACTCGGTCTTCCTCCACTTTATCATTTATTGCCAGGGTCACCTCTGGATATCAGTGTAGCAACTTATGATATCAAGCTTGCATTTCTGAAGAACCATATGATCAACTTGTATCTTTATGTCTTCTTTGCTTCATGAAAGTCTCAGAAGAATTGTTTCTTTGTGGAACTCTTTTCGTAGTCAGAACTATGACCTTGATGCCCTATTTTGTCTTGGATAAAACCAACTTTCTTGCTTGGAGTTGTGCAGAAATCCGATAAAGCTTTCATCTTTGAAAGAGAATTTGTCATCTTTAAAAAGGGAATCTATCATCTTTGAAGAGTGTAGATGTAGATATGCCTGACTCAGCAGTGATTAATTAGGAGAGTAGAGTCTGTTCTAATTTAATTCTTGAAACACATCATAAGGAAGATTTATTCCAAATTTTTTTCATGCTCCACATAATCAGATCTCGAATAAGGCAACTTGGACCATATCATGTCGAGATGCTTAACAACATATGTCGTTCAACCATAGTTGGCTCTACTAGTTTCTTGTTGTTAAAATTTCTGCTTCCCTTCTGTGGAAAGAAATCTTCATTATATCTCACTTCTAATCTTGGTGTTGAGAAGACACTTTATTTTGGATCAATAAATGTAAAACCATATGATCGCAACATTGGTTCAGAACAATAATTACTGGTTTGTAAAACACATTCATCTTTTCTGTGGTTTCTGCACAATGTTTGTAAAACATTTGACAATACATTCATCATTTCTTGTGGCTTCTGCCAAGATTTCTCAATCATTGAAGCTCTTTGCATGGTGTTCAAAATTGTTGTATGATGTCACAAGACCATTTGAGAACAAAACTCAGTGGGGATCAAGTGTGATGTTAGTATGACCAAAAAGTTGGTCAAATTCACAAAATGTACTGGTGTGAATTGAATAGGAGACATTAATTGATCTCGATATCATCCTGGGCAAGGGCAAGTGTAATACTGATCACGTTTTCTTCTGTAATGAGCATTGTAGAAAGTAGAAATACTTCAGCTATAGGATCCATGTACAGAAAGATATTTGTGGAATTCTTGCTGCTGGGGATGAAACGCACATGATAAAACCCAAAATAGATAAAAATTCAGTTCAGCCTGGCTGGCAATGATAACCCCAGTAACAATGGGAATAACAATAATAAGTGAGTCGAGTCTCTCCCTTTCCAATGTCATCGATTAAGCGAAAACCTATTGTGAAAAACAGCTTCGTAACCTCAACAATATGGTTGAAACTAACTGCCAGGAATCTCAAAGAAATATTTTCAATTGTCACCACACAGAGAATACAAAATTCAAAGCTGAGATCTCGAGGAACTGATCCTTGGATCGAATGGTCTACAAAGGGACCATCTCTATTCATGCAATCATGATGTAGCTTAACAAAGAACACACTTTCATGTGACACATGGTTTAAGAAGATTGGGTATTTGAAACCATACTTGCTGAATAAATTTTGTTCAAACAACCCTAATGCAACTGCCTGATGAACGAAGCAATTATGTGTAGTCAGATTGACTGTTATTGTTTCACCATTTTCATCTTCATATTTTTCTGTTTCATTGGAAATATCTGCTCAAGTCAATGATGATGTGGGCCTTCAGTATGCCCCAGTATTTGCTGATATGATCGTTCAAAAATGCATTAACAGTCATAATTCTGATTGAAATGGGCTTTCAGCATGCCCCGATATTTGCTTCTTATTAATCTGAGCCTTCAAAATGC